CCCCCCCCCCCCCCCCCTCCCCAGGTCCCGCCCAAGGACGCCTGGCGGCCGCGCGCCCCCCCATGGCTCGTTGGCGCTGGTTTCTGATTATTTGCGATCGTGGGCCCGCGCAAGGAAGCCTGGCGGCCGCGACCCCCCTGGCTCGCTGACGCTGGTTTCTGATTATTTGTGTAAAAAATTATGCGCGATTGCTTCTGGGCCCCCAATCGCAAATGATCAGAAACCAGCGCCAGCGAGCCAGGGGGAGGCGCGCTGCCGCCAGGCGTCTTCGGGGGGGACCTGGGGGGGCAAGCACAATCGCAAATGATCAGAAACCAGCGCCAGCGAGCCAGGGGGGGCAAGCACGCTCGCAAATAATGAGAAACCAACGCCAGCGAGCCAGGGGGGTCGCGGCCGCCAGGCTTCCTTGCGCGGGCCCACAATCGCAAATAATCGGGAACGAGCGCCACCGAACCAGGGGGGAGCGCGGCTGCCAGGCGTCCTTGGGCGGGACCTGGGGGGGCAAGCGCAATGGCAAATACATAATCAAAAACCAGCGCCGGCGAGCCAGTGGGGTCGCGGCCGCCAGGCTTCCTCGCGCGGGCCCACAATCGCAAATAATCCGGAACCAACGCCAACGGGCCAGGGGGAGTACGCGGCCGTCAGGCGTCCTTGGGCGGGACCTGGGGGGGCAAACACAATTGCTAATCATCCAAAACCAACGCCAGCGAGCCAGGGGGGTCGCGGCCGCCAGGCTTCCTTGCGCGGGCCCGCAATCGCAAATGATCAAAAACCAGCGCCAACGAGCCAGGGAGGGGCGCGCGGCCGCCAGGCGTCCTTGGGCGGGACCTGGGGGGGGGGGGGGCAAGCACAATCGCAAATACTCAGAAACCAGCGCCAGCGAGCCAGGGGGGTCGTGGCCGCCAGGCGCCCCTGCGCGGGGCCACAATCGCAAATGATCAAAAACCAGCGGCAACGAGCCAGGGGGGGGGGCGCGCGGCCGCCAGGCGTCCTTGGGCTGGACCTGGGGGGGCAAGCACAATCGCAAAGAATCAGAAACCAGCGCCAGCGAGCCAGGTGGGGTCGCGGCCGCCAGGCTTCCTTGCGCGGGTCCATAATCGCAAATCATCGAAAACCAACGCCAACGAACCAGGGGGGGCGGCCGCGCACAATCGCAAATAATCAGAAACCAGCGCCGGCGAGCCAGGGGGGTCGCGGCCGCCAGGCTTCCTTGCGCGGGCCCGCACTCGCAAATGATCAGAAACCAACGCCAACGAGCCAGGGGGGGGCGCGCGGCCGCCACGCGTCCTCGGGCGGGACTGGGGGGGGCAAGCGCACTCGCAAGTAATCAGAAACCAGCGCCAGCAAGCCAGGGGGGTCGCGGCCGCCAGGCATCTTTGTGCGGGCCTACAATTGCAAATAATCAGAAACCAGCGCCAACGAGCCAGGGGGGGCGCGCGGCCGCCAGGCGTCCTTGGGCGGGACCCGGCGGGGGGGGGCAAGCACGATCGCAAATAATCAGAAACCAGCGCCGGCGAGCAAGGGGGGTCGCGGCCGCCAGGCTTCCTTGTGCGGGCCCACAATCGCAAATTATCAAAAACCAGCGCCAACGAGCCAGGGGGGGGCGCGCGGCCGCCAGGCGCCCCGGGGCGCGACTCGGGAAGGGGGGAGGGGAAGGGGGCAAGCACAATCGCAAATAATCAGAAACCAGCGCCAGCGAGCCAGGGGGGTCGCGGCCTCCAAGCTTCCCTGTGGAGGCCCACAATCGCAAATTATCAGAAACCAACGCCAACGAACCAGGGGGGGCGCGCGGCCGCAAAGCGTCCTTGGGCGGGACCTGGGGGGGCAATCACAATCGCAAATAATCAGAAACCAGCGCCAGCGAGCCAGGGGGGTCGCGGCCGCCGGGCTTCCTTGCGCGGGCGCACACTCGCAAATAATCGAGAACCAGCGCCAACGAACCAGGGGGGGGGGGGGCGCGCGGCCGCCGGGCGTCTTTGGGCGGGGCCGGGGGGGGGCAACCACACTCGCAAATAATCAGAAACCAGCGCCGGCGAGCCAGGGGGGTCGCGGCCGCCAGGCTTCCTTGCGCGGGTCCACACTCGCAAATAATTAAAAACCAGCGCCAACGAGCCAGGGAGGGGCGCGCGGCCGCCAGGCGTCCTTGGGCGGGACCTGGGGGAGCAAGCACAATCGCAAATAATCAGAGACCAGCGCCAGCGAGCCATGGGGGGTCGCGGCCGCCAGGCTTCCTTGCGCGGGCCCAGACTTGCAAGTAATCAGAAACCAGCGCCAACGAGCCGGGGGCGCGCGGCCGCCAGGCGTCCTAGGGCGGGGCCTGGATGGGGGTGGGTGGGTGGGTGGGGGGGGGGCAAACACAATTGCTAATCATCCAAAACCAACGCCAGCGAGCCAGGGGGGTCGCGGCCGCCAGGCTTCCTTGCGCGGGCCCACACTCGCAAATAATCGCACACCAGCGCCAACGAGCCAGGGAGGGGCGCGCGGCCGCCAGGCGTCCTTGGGCGGGACCTGGCGGGGGGGAGGGCAAACACACTCGCAGATAACCAAAAACTAGCGCCAGCGAGCCAGTGGGGTCGCGGCCGCCGGGCTTCCTTGCGCGGGCCCACAGTCGCAAATAATCAGAAACCAGCGCCAACGAGCCAGGGGGGGCGCGCGGCCGCCAAGCGTCCTTGGGCGGGACCTGGGGGGGGGGCAAGCACAATCGCAAACAATCAGAAACCAGCGCCAGCGAGCAAGGAAGGGGGGTCGCGGCCGCCAGGCTTCCTTGCGCGGGCCCACACTCGCAAATAATCGCACACCAGCGCCAACGAGCCAGGGGGGGGCGCGCGGCCGCCTGGGGGGAGCAAACACAATCGCAAATAATCAAAAACCAGCGCCAACGAGCGAGGGGGGTCGCGGCCGCCAGGCGTCTTTGGGCGGGCCCTGGAAAGGCGAAACACAATCGCAAACAATCGGGAACCAGCGCCAGCGAGCCAGGGTGGGGCGCGCGGCCGACAGGCGTCCTTGGACGGGGCTTGGGGGGAGGGAAACACACTCGCACATAATCAATAACCAGCGCCAGCGAGCCAGGGGGGTCGCGGCCGCCAGGCTTCCTCGCGCGGCCCGCCGCCGAGGTCGGCGCCGCCGCCTGGCGCCCTGCGGCGCGCACTGGAGCAGCCACTCGCAATCGTGAGTAAGCAAAAACCAGCGCGCGCCAGAGGTCGGCGCCGCCGCGTGGCGTCCTGGGGCAAGCCCCGGCGCAGCCACTCGCAATCGCAAATAAGCAAAAAACATTGCACAAAGCAGAGGTCGGCGCCGCCGCCTGGCGTCCTCGGGCGCGCACTGCCCTGACTCCAGATCCGCCCTACTCTGGCTGTGTTCCCAACTTCAAATTGCGTCGGAAATCCACCTATAAGAAGCCGAAAAAGTAGGGCGGAAATTTCTGCACCCAGCATAAAGTAGGGCGGAAATCAACAGGAGCAGGGCGGAAACAGCAACAGAAAAGTAGGGCGGAACTTGGCATCAGCGGGGCTTGAAAAGTAAGGCGGAAATTCCAAGCCCTACTTACGAATTTCCCCAAAGTAGGGCGGATCTGGAGTCAGGGTGGCGCAGCTATGCGCAATCGCGAATAAGCAAAAACCGCAGCGCGCCAAAGGTCGACGCCGCCGCGCGGCGTCTTCGGGCGCGCCTTGGCGCAACCAATCGCCATCGCAATTAAACATAAACCAACGCAGGCAATCCAGAGATTGGCGCGAATTGCCAAGGGGGCCCGCGCACGCCCTGAAGTCCGACGCAATTGCGAATGAGTAAAAACGCATGGAAACGATTTGATTTTGATTTTGGGGATGCATGCGGGGCCCCACTACTGACAACAAGCGAATCAAAAGGCCTCCGCGGCGGTTTGAGAAGGGCGCCTACGATTTAAGAAACTTGGCCCGTAAGAAAGTGGCAGCCCCTGGCGCGCTGAACATGGCCGCGGCATAAGAAATCCACAGGGGCTGAAACGAAACGCCGACTTTCTTATTGAGCGCCGTGGGTGTATTAGGCTATACGGACGTAGGGTTATAGGGCTATAGGGCTATTAGGCTATAGGGCCATAGGGCTATGTGGCTCTTGGGCTATAGGGCTATAGAGCCATAGGGATGTAAGGCTATAAGGCTATATTGCTATAGGGTTACAAGGCAATAAGGCTATAGGGCTATAGGGTTATTGGGCTATAGGGTTGTTAGGGCTATAGGGCACCCGGGCACCGAAATCGGCGGCCCAGCTCACCTCACCATATGAATCCGCTAGGACCCATACAGAGGCAAGCTCTGATTGGGGAACATGGCAAAAGCATATCAATTATTGAGGTGGGAAGGCGCTTGACATAGACCCAACGACCGACGTGTAATATTGCATGTGCCTGCAATACCCCTGCAGGTCAGATTTCCGAAACGACGGCCGGGGCTCAGGGTTCGACGGTTAGGGCCCCCGAGAGGCGACCACACTGAGGGACAACGTCAAGGGGGCCAGCTCAGCGGAGGAGGGGGACATCGGGCTTGGATCGGCGATGCATCGCCGAACGATCGGCGATAGGAGCCCGATGGGCTATGGATCGCTGGTAGATGAACGATGGGGCCACGATCGGCGAAGAACAAGCGATTGGGGGTCGATGAGTTCCCCCTCTGAGCCTACCCCCCCCCCCCTCATAGTTGCCCCTGGCACATGCGAACCCTGCACCTGCAGGTCAGATCTCTGAGATGCTGGCCGGGGCTTAGCGAACGAAGGACGTTTGCATCCAAGTGAACCCCAGCGGGGGCGTCCGATTACCCCAGCACCGATTGCCCGCCGCTGCTCCCTCTGCCCTGAGCCTATCCTCCCCCGTAGCGTTGCCAATGAATGCTCGCCACGAGGCCCCCCCCCCCCGCGAGGCCGCCTCCGCGAGGCTCCTCCGCGAGGCGCCTCCGCGAGGCCCCTCGGAGAGGCCCCCCCTCTCCCAGAAGCCCTCCGGCGGCGGCGGCGGCGCGCAACCGGGGCTCCCGCGCCAGCGCCGGCGCCCGCGCCGGCGAGAGGCGCGCCTGCGCCGGCGCCCGGGCTGGCGACAGGGGCAGCGGGGAGCGCGCCTCGGTGGCGTGCGGTGGGGGGGCTCCGCCTCTACTGGCCTTTCCGAGGAGCCCCGCCACTTGCTCAGACGGCCAGCCCTCTCTCTCCGTAGCCACCGACCGGGGGATGCATCTTCGGGGACCTCGGTGGTGGACGTGGAAATGTTTCGGCCCAGTGGCCCGAACGAATTTATGTGCAGCCATGTATAATTAATCATATATTATATGTGTCTATATATATATATATATATATGTATAGAGACATGTCCGTCGCTTGCCAGGGCCCCCGAAGATCGACCCCCCAGGCGGTGGCCACGGATAGAGGGGGCTGGACGCCCGGCTGGCCTTTCGAGGAAGCGGCGGGGCTTCTCGGGAAGCCCCCTGGCCTTCCGAGAAGCCGTCTCTGTGGCTTCGGAGGAGCCTCGGGGAGCCTCTCAGAAGGCCGGTCCGAGCCTTCTGCGTATAGGCCCGCCCTTTCTACGATCCCCTCCTGGGCGCGCCGCCGATCCAGGCATCCGAAGGATTGTTGCTGTTGTGTCGCGGACGCTGCGTTTTGTACAATCTGTCTGCACCCGGGGGCCGTTCTCGGGCCGCTGGTCTAACGGGGCCCCAGTGGCCAAAATAACACCATAGAGAGCATTGCAGAGGACAGTGTGCACGTCAGTCTAGAGAGCAGAGTCGACCCGTAGACGAAGGACGCGCGATGAGGACGCCAGGGCCTTGGAAGGCCTTGCCGACACCTGGCGAGCGCGGCGCGGCCAGCGGAAGCGGCCAGGGATGGGCCGCAGGGGAAGATAGGGGGCCACATGCGAACCCTACCCCTGCCCCCCACGATTTCTGAGGGGGAGGGTGGGGTTCACTTCGCTCGGGAGAACCCCACCCTCCCCTTCAGAAATCGTGGGGGGCAGGGGTAGGGTTTGCATGTGGCCCCCTAGAAGAGCGCAAAGGTAACGGGAAGTCTGTCAACCTTACTATGCGGGTTGCCTGCACTTTCGAGGGAGACCATCCGGGAGACCTGTTTTGCGCTTTCGCTTTGGTGTCGTTGTCCTACGTTCTGCCTTTGCTGGGAAACGATCTCAAAACGAAAACGGTCCACAAAATCACCCAAACACAGTTTAGCTCGAGCCTTGCGTCGTCGGATGCCCATGGGGGGGTAGTGGAACACAAGGAGCGCTGGTGCGCTGTGCGGGGCAATGCTGGGCGCCTTGCAGCAGCTGGCGGGTGCGGGGCTCCAGCCTGCGCCCTTGCCAGGCGCGACCCTCCTGCGTGCCCCTCGGCCGGGACGCGACTCAGCGCCATAGACGGCAACACCTCAAAACTGAGAACAGCGGCGACGATGGGGGGTGAAAGGAGGTGGGGGGTGGGGGGTGGGGGGTGGCGGATGAGGACGGAGGAGATGGGAGGAGAGGAAGCAACGGCGAAGGCATCGTCCACCTCGCCCCTCCCCTCCTCCGCTCCGTCCTCTCCTCTTGCCCCTCGTCCTGGTCCTCCGCCTCGCTGATCCCACTCCTCCCCTTCGTTTCTCCTTCCCGTCCTCATTTCGCCTCCTTTCTTTTTTCCGTTCTCCTCCTCCTCCTCCTCCTTCTCCTCGCCATCCTTCCTCTTGCTACTCTTCAGCATGCTAATGCTTCTCGTCGCTTTCGCTGATCATCCTTCTCACTTTCCTCCTCATCATCCGTTTTATCCTCCTCCTCCTCCTCGCCCTCTCTTCCCTCTTTCTTATAGAGACTCATAACTCTTTCCCGTCGCACCCCAAGCCTATTTGCAGGGCAGGCCTGGCGTTTCGCCTAAGACTTCCTCGTCGTGTATGACTCTGCAGCAGCTTGCAACTTGCAAAACAGCTTCAAGGATGGAGGGGCGGACGACCATTCATGATAATCATTACTACTACTGTTATTTCAATAGTATGAGAATTATTGTTATTGTTCGTGTGCTTATTGTTCGCACTAGTAATAGCAACATCAAAAAGTATCCTCGCATTATTTGTATGTGTACATCTGTATATAGATGTGTGGCGTTCGCCGTCAGTACGCGCACATTCGCCTCCGAAACTTGCAACAGCTTCACGGGTGGAGAGCGTGCCGTTTTCACCATGTGGCGTTCGTTTTTGGAAACGCGCCCATTCGCAACAATTTCACGGGTGGAGGGCGGGCCGCTTTCAAGATGTAGCTTTCGCATTCAAGCCACGCGCATTCGTCTTCAGCTGTTGCAGCACCTTCACGAATGGAGGGCGGGCCCCTTCAGAATGTGTTCTCGCCCCGCGCCGCGCTCATTCGTCGTAAAACGATGCGCCAACTTTAGTCATGGAGGGCGGCTCCTTTCTGAAAAGTGGCTCTCGCCGTAGCCACTTGAACGTTCGTCTTGAAAGTTTGCAGCAGTTTCAAAACTCCGTACGGTTAAAATCCCATGATGGTTTCTGGCATGATCCAAGACGGCCAGGACGCGACAGTCATGTTGATTCGCGGTGTTGAAGTCCCGGGAACAGTGCTTTGGCAGGGCTCAGGATTGCAAGGATGGAGAAGTCATGTCGATTCGCGGCGCGAAAATCCCAAGAACTGTTGCCTGGCACGGTTGAGGCACCTCAAACGGCTGTCTTCCAATGGGGTACTCCCCGCAATGAAAACAGCACCTTGCAAGGACCTATGAAGACGGAACTTAAGGTAGGATGGATTGCAACATCGCCGACGCGTCTTGCGATTATACTGGCCTTCCTCCTCCTCCTACTCCACCTCCCTGTTGCTTCTCCCCATCAGCCTCTTCCTTCCATCCTCCCCGCGCACATAAAGAGAAGGCGCGCAGAAGCGTGCTCGCGCAGAGGACGTCGAGGCGGAGGGATGCGGAGGGACGAGGCGACAAGGAGGGGAAGGAGGAGAAGGAGGAGACCACGGAGGAGGTGGAAGTAGAGGGAGGAACATGTATGGGGGAGAAGACGAATGGGGAGATAGATGGAAGGGTTGGGGAGGGAAACGCCTCCGCATCCTCGACGACATGGAGAGGACTGATAGACTTCTTAAGCTTGATGCCTTTGGCTTTTGACACCGTCGGGGGGGTACTCAGGGCCTGGCCCCCCAAAACACGACGTCTCGAAAATCAGCGAAAGCATCATCCTCGAACAACCGAAAGCCATATTATTTGCCCAATACTTCTGATGAGCTCCCGAGCTGGATCGGTTTGCGTGAGTGCGCAGCCCGAAGCAAGCCCCGAGAAAACCCCTCGCGTGCTTTCTGACGACGCCCACTTGTAAAGGACATCTCCCCCAAATGCGCCCCAAACCTACCACCTAATACCCCTCTGGGCAACATTGTGGCATGCTTTCCGAACCGCGCCCTGCCGTGGCGACGAGAGAAGATGAGGAGGCTGAGGAAGAGGAGCATCTGTAGGAGTGTGAGTCCCTGGAGGCGGTCCGACTTCGCCTACGCACGCTGCGGGCGCGGGAGCGCCGAGCCACTCGGGCACTCGAAGTTGCCCAGAGGGCGGAGTCGAAGAGGCAGGAGCATCAGTAGGAGGAGAAGAGGAGGAGGAGAAGGAGAAGGAGGCGAAGGAGGCGGAGGAGGAGGAGTAGGAGCAGTAGGTGGAGGGGGAGACCCAGCCATCTGGCGGGCTGCTCGACTTGGGCCGCGGCCCTCCGAACTCTCGGCCCCTTCCGCGGGGCATGCGCTGCCGTCCCGGCCCCAGGGCCCGAGGCCAACCTCTGGAGGCACGATGTACGTGTCTATGTATGTATGTATGTAAGTAAGTAAGTAAGTATGTATGTATGTGTGTATGTATGTATCTGTATGTATATATGTATGTATATATGTATGTGTGTATGTATGTATGTATGTATGTATGTATGCATGTATGTACGTGCGCATGTATGTATGCATGTATGCATGTCTGTGTGTATGTATGTATGTATGTATGTGTGTATGTCTGTATGTGTGTATGTGTGTATGTATGTATGTAAGTGTGTATGTATGTATGTACGTGTAGGTATGTACGTGTGTATGCATGGATGTATGTATGCACGTGCGCATGCATGTATGTATGGATGCAGGTATGCATGTATGTATGTATATGCGTGTGTACATGTATGTGTGTATGTATGTATGGTTGTATGTGTGTATGTATGTATGTATGTGTGTAGGTATGTATGTATGGGTGTATGTGTGCATGTACGTGGGTTCGTTTGCATGTATGTGTGTGTACGTGCGTATGCATGTGCGTGTCCATGTATGTGTATGTATGTATATGTGTACGGGTATGTATATACGCATGTGTGAATGTATGTATGTATGTATGTGTATGTATGCATGTATGTATGAATGTATGTATGTATGTATGCATGTGTGTATGTATGTATCTACGTGTGTATGTATGTGCGTTTCTATGTATGTGTCGGTATGTATGTATGTGAATGTATGTTTGCATGTATGTACGTGTGTGTGTATGTATGTATGTATGTATGTACGTGTGCATGAACGTATGTATGTACGTGTATGTATGTATATATGTGTGTCTGAGTGAATGTGTGTACGCATGTGTGCATGTATGTATGTGTCTATGTAGGAATGTATGTATGCATGTATGTGCTTACGTATGTGCGCGCGTATGTATGCATGAGTGTATGTATGTGTGCATGCATGCATGTGGCTGTATGTATGTATGTATGTATGTATGTATGTATGGATGTACGTGTGTATGCATGTATGTATGTACGTGTGTATGCATGTACTTGTGTATGTATGTACGCATGTATGTGTGAGCATGTATGCATGTATGTGTGAATCTGTATGTATGTATGTGTGTATGGATGTATGTACGTGTGTATCCATGTGTGTGCGTATGTATGCACGTGCGTATGAAGGTATGTATGTGTATGTATGAATGTATGTGCATGTCGTCATGTATCTGTGCACGCACGTATGTACGTGTGTATGGATGTATGCACGAATGTGTGTATGTATGTATGTGTGTATGTATGTGTGTATGTATGTATGTATGTATGTGCGTATGTATGTATGCATGTATGTATGTGTGTATGCACGTGCGTATGCATGTGTGTATGTGTGTATGGATGTATGGATGTGGATTCATGTGTGTATGCATGCATGTGTGTATGTCTGTATGTATGTACGTGTGTATGTGTGTATGTATGGATGCACGTACGTTGGTATGTACGTATGCATGGTTGTATATATGTACGTATGTATGTGTGCATGTGTGCATGTATGTATGTATGTATGTATGTACGTGTGTGTATGTATGTGTGCCTGTCTGTACGTATGTATGCATGTATGTAGGTATGTATGTACGTACGTGTGTGTGCATGCACGTATGTATGCGTGTATGTATGTATGTGATTGGATGTATGTATGCACGTATGCGTGTATGTATGTATGCGTGCATGTATGTATGTATGTGTGTATGTATTTCTGTATGTGTACGTGTGTGGATGTGTGTATGCGTGTATGCATGTATGTGTGTATGTATCTACGTGGGTATGTATGTGTACATTCATGCATGTAGCTATGTATGTACGCCTGAACGTATGGTTGTATGTGTGTATGTATGTATGTATGTGTGTATGGATGCATGTATGTATGCATATCTGTATGTATATAAATGTATATCTGCACATGTGTATGTATGTATGTATGTGTCTTTGCATGTGTGTTTGCAAGTGTGTATGTATGTGTGTATGCATGTGCGTCTGGGTGTATGTATGTGTGTTTGTATGTATGCATGGTGTGTGCATGCATGTGTCCATGTATGGTTGCATGTATGTGTATGTGCATGCATGCATGTGTGTGCGGTTGTGTGTATAGATGTATGTATGTGCGTATGCATGTGTGTATGTATGTGTGTAATCATGTCTGTATGCATGCATGTATGCATGCATGTATGGTTGCATGTACGTGTTTTATGATTGCATATTTCCATGTATGTATGTGTATATGTATGTGACTTCGTATGGTTACATGTATGTACGTATGCATGCATGTACGCATGTCTGTCTGTCTGTCCGTCTGTCTGTCAGCCAGTCTGTCAGTCTGTACTTATGTATGTATGGAAGTGTGTATGTGAGTATGTATGTATGCGGTTCCGTATGCTTGTAGGTGGGTGTATACATGTATGGATGTACGTATGTGTGCATGTATGGATGTATGATTGTACGTTTGTATGTGTGCATGCATGGATGCATGATCGTATTTTTGTGAGTAGGTATGTCTGTCTGACTGTTTGTCCGTCCGTCTGTCTGTATGACTATCATGTATGTCTATGTGTGCATGTCGCCGCGCCACTTGTTCTCGACGCGCCCATGTGGACACACGGCAAACACCCACGGCAAGCCCTGCGTCCCGCGCCCAAGTAGACGACGCCGCCACACGGCAACCCCCACGGCGAGCCCACCGCGCACGAGGCGGAGTTTGCCCTGGTGGCCGCGGCGCCCTCCCCAGGACGTAAGGCTGCGTGCTGGAACAAACTGCGCGGCGCCATACACACATATATGTGTACACATACACATACATATATATAGAGAGAGAACAAATTACAACAGCAACGCATGAAGTCACAACAAGCAACTGCAATGAAGCGCGTCTGGAGGGAGCGTGCGATGACGATGTGTGGGCATTCCCATTGGCCCACTCTGCCAGAGATGCAAATTACACACAATTGTAGCAAGGCGGGGAAGATCGAGACACCAGAGAAATAGAGAGGCACATTTACAGAGACACCAGCCAGACAGAGACAGAAACGTAGACAGAAACAGAGACACAGACGGACAGAGAAAGCGAGAGAGAAAGAGAGAGGGAGAGGAAGAGAGAGAGAGAGAGAAACAAAACAAAAACAAACAATGAAAGAGAGGAGAGAGATCCCCTGGAGTCCGAAAACGATTTTGAGGAGGGGGGGGCGCGAGGTCCCCAGCGCACCTCTGGGCCCCTCGGAGCCTCAACATCCATCCCCCGTGGCCTCCAAGGTGTCCAATCTGCCTTCTGAGATGGCCCAAGAAGGGCTCCAACACGCCAGAAAGGTTAAGATTGCTCATGAAGAGCTCAAGCACAACTAAGATGGTACCAAGACGGCCCAAGTGGCCGCGAGGCCGTCTCAAGAGGGCCCCAAGGGGACCCCAAGCACTCGAGAGGACCTCAAGAGACACAAAACATTGAATGCCCGACGATAAGTGTTGGACTGTTCTTTTCTAGCGTTCTCGCCTACTGGGGCGCCTGAGACCCCGAGACGGCCTGAGAGGTCCTCACGACGGCCCTAGGACGGCCCAAGAGGCTTCCAAGACGACCCGGTTCCCAGAGAGCGCCAAGGCTACCCACGAGGGGAACTCGTAGGGCGCCCGGGAGCGCACAGGATGGCCCCTAAGACCCACGACATGCCCCGAGCAGACCCTGGAGGAGCCCCCCCAAAACAGCCCCAAAAAGCCCCCACAGCCCTCCCGGCAGGGCGCGGGAGAGATCTCCCCGAGGGGCCGCCCGCGTGCGCGCGGGCAGCACGACGGGAGGCGACAAGCAGCACCTAGAACCTAGACGCCGCACAGCTCCTCGCCTGGCAGGTGGGCGGAATGGCGTGAGCCTCTGGGTCAAGCTGTGGGAGGAGGGCGCGGCTGGTCCCGAGGGCCGGGCGACGGGGTGGGGCATGGCGTACTCGAGGGCTGGGCTCCTCGACGGCGTGGCAGCGCGGCGTCGTCGGCGCGCCGTCTTCGTCAACATCGCCACCGTCGTCGCCGTCGCCGTCGCCGTCGCCCCATTGCCGCCGCCGTCGCCGCCAGAGGAGGAGCACTAGCTGGGCCGTAGAGGAGCAGGAGGAGGAGGAGGAGGAGGAGGAGGAGGAGGAGAAAGAGGAGAAAGAGGAGGAGAAGGAGAAGGCGGGGGGAGGAGGAGAAAGAGAGCAGGAGCACGAGGGAGGAGAGGCCAATGGATGAGCAGGAGGAGGCGAGTACAAGCGGCCTGGCCTGTCTCCTTCTCTTGCATGTGTCTCGGCGTCTCGCGTACCGTGGCCGCGAATGTGCTCCGCAATTCTCTGCCCAGAGAAAAGATGGGGGGGCCTCCCCGCCCCCGGGCTGGCCAGGGAGGAGGACACCGGATGAGGACAGGAGCAGCATACCCTGCAGTCAACCCGTATAGTATGAACGCACGAGAAGGACGGCCAGCGGAAGCGGCCAAGGATGGGCCGAAGGGGAAGGATGCAAGGGCATCCTTGGAAAGTCGCTCATCCTTGCTATGCGGGTTGACTGTAGACTCCAACTGTCCTATCCTCATCGCACTCTTCCTCTGCGCCTCCCTTCCCTCCCGTGGCACCACTCTTCTCTCTCTCTCTCTCTCTATCGGGCCTTTGCGGGCGGGCGCCGCAGAGCGAGGGGGGGGTGTTGGGGCGAGCATCATCCCTGGCTGAACGTGACCGCCGTTGTCGGCAGTCGCCGTGGGCGCCACATGGGGGCGTGTAGCGGGGGCACGAAAAGGCGTGCCGGAGGAGAGGGAGGAGCACGCAGGAGGAGGGGGAGCAGGAAGCAGGGAGGCGGGGACATGGACAGCGGAGGAGACGGAGGAGACGGGGGTGGGGGCGCACAGTGGGGCCAAGGGGGGAGGGGGAGTAGAAAAGATGAGCAGGAGGAGGAGGAGGAGGAGGAGGAGGGCGGAGAGGGGAAGCATAGGAGGAAGACGAGGAGGAGGAGGAGGAGGTGTAAGAATCCCTTGTGAGAATCCCTTGTCCGCACCGCAGCCGGCTTGAGCCTCGAGCCCAGGAAAACATACTCCATATCGAAATCATCCGCATATCTTTTCATGGTAGCGGAGCCGTGGTGAACAATACACGGACCCAGATAACATCCCCATCCCAAGTAGGGCTCTGGGAAGACTCACTGTAGAGTAGCATCCCCAACCCAAGTAGGGCTCTGGGAAGACACGTAGTGTAGAAAGAATGGCAGCAGTGATTGACACGAAACTGTTAGGACGAGGTCTAAAAGATTTCTCCGGGGATGAAAGTGAATGGAGCGATTGGTGTTATCGTTTCGAACCTTATTGTGGAGCTGTGAGCCAAGTAATGTTGCAGAACATGGGACGAGCACGAGAACATGCGAATCCCATCATACTAGCAGCCACAGAGGACGATGTGAAACAACATTCAGCAAATTTAGCGTATAATCTAAAGAGTGTTGTGTACGGAGAGATGACGAAAGTATTTAGGAAAATCAAGAAAGGGAACGGTCTTGAGATGTGGCGTAGGATGTGCATAAGGTATGAGCACAAAGACAAAAACACGAAAAGAGGGGTTCTGAACGCAATCATGGACTTCAGCTTCTCGGGCTCTTCCCTCCCAGAGGTTCTTGAGCGCATGGAAGAGATGGAGTTGCTAATGAAAGAGGACGACGATTTAGCCAGCCCTGACGAACTAGCAGATGATGTGATAGTCAGCGTGGCTATGAAAACGATCCCAGAACCCATGAAGACACATTTCGATTTAAATACACATCTGTACGAAACATATGAAGACCTCAAACGAGAGATCCACAAATACGTTGGAATCAAACGTGAATGGAAAAACCCGTACGCCAGAAAGGACAACGGACCGAAACCTATGGAAGTTGATGCGTTGAAGGGTTCTCCGAAAGGTACCCCGAAAGGTTTTCCGAAAGGATCCCCAAAGGGTGACAATAGGGGCTCTCCGAAAGGATCCCCCAAAGGCACCCCCAAGGGCACTCCGAAGGGATATTCCCAAAGGAGCGGGGTCTGGCCGTGGATACCCATCATCCTCTTGGCGAGGACAGGGTTCCTCCACTCAGGCCCAGGGCTGGTACCAGAACGACCGGAAAGGTAAAGGCAAGGACCAAACGAACACTGGAGGCAAAGGTCGGGACCAGTCGAGCAGTGGAGGCAAAAATGGCTGGAGTCAGAACGCAAACAAGTGGTGTGACATTTGCAGGATGAGGAACCATTGGACGTCAGAGTGCAGACTCAACAACAAAAGGAAACATCGATCAGGGAAAAGGAGCCATTCCTACGAACAGGCCTGGGACCAGGACTGTTGGGGTCCGGGTGGTCTGGGGACGAGCAGGGCGATTGGAACCAGGATGGAGAAGAGCAGCCAGAGCAACACGACGAATACTCCCCAGAGGAGTTCGCGGCTCTGCTTCCTGGGAGCAGCTCTCCGGACGAAGGCGACAGCGAGTCGACCGATTCGAACGAGTGTTTCCCATGTGAGTCAGCTGCGCCAGCCGAGAGCGATCCGGGGGCAGAATCACAGGATGACAACGCACTTGCTTTCGAGTATGGTTTTGCGGATTCGTCGAGCGACGCTGGCAGCGAGAGCAGCGCACCCAGTGAGCACGCTTTCTGTGTGGATGTGGGCTCTCAGACAGACCCCACAGGACTTCTTGCGGAGACAGGCTTTCAAACGGAACCTGTGGCAGACCAGTGCGAAGATTTCCACGACTGCCCAGCATGGTTTGTGATGGCGGATTCGGATGACGAGGGTGATGATCCCATTAGCACTCATCGCAACATCGCCGAGAGCTTTCCAGGGACGACGCTACACATGATGACAATGTTTGTGATGATGTGTGTGGTGTCGTTTTGTGCAAACATGTGGCCTGAAATCTGCGACGTGTGTTCACATGCATTCACAAGCTTGTCAAAAGTGCGCTGGCCCATCGTCGGGCTGATCATCGCACAAGCGATTTTGATGTGCATCGTGGTGGGCTCTGGGAAAAGTGAACACTACATCAACTCGTTTTTGGACGAAGCCCCGCAGGGACAAAAGAGCGTCGCGTCCACCGGCACATACACACAGAGAGACTTGCAGATCCTCTTGGATTCTGGAACCTTCGATCATGTATGCAATGAGTCTTTCGCGAAACATATCCCTGTGGTAAAGTCTGCCGGCAAAAGAGGTGCGACCGCCTCGGGAGATCCGATGACACGGATTGGACACAAAGACGTACCTATACAACTGATCGGCCACAACGGCGTGACGGTAGTGTTTGCAGTCCGTTTCAGTGTCTTCAAAGAAGCAAGTACCACACTCATCAGCATCAGCAGGCTAACGAAACAGAAAAACAGCACTTGCATGTTTGATGGCAGCACCTGCGTGATGAAAAGGGCCACATATCCCAAAACCGTTGTCTGTGAAAGAACACAATTTCCTGTATCGGGTAACGTGTAAGTTTGTAGACCCGGTAAAGATCATGCCAATCATCAAGCGCCAGTCGTTGCACTCAGCTGTCCTCCGGCCTCTCGACGAACCGCCGGAATAATTGAGAATGAACATTCCCGCAAAGATTAACAAGGAAATTTGGAGCACCACCTCTGAGGGCGAACCTTATGTGGTGACACCCAAAGCAGAGAAACACCGAGCTCCCGTCGGACAGTTTCCAAAGAAGTTCACATACGATAACATCGCAAAGGATTTCCCTCTGCGCATCACGTGGGTAAAATGGCCAAGGGACGAAAGGGTGCTCTTGGAAAACAGGGTAGACTGGACAAAACTCGACATGCCAGAAGATTTCATTATGCCAGGCAGGACAATCACATTGTTCGTTCAACGTGAGAGGACAACGATCCCCAAAACAGATCTGAACCGAGCGACGTCCCAATGAACCTCTCAGAAGAAGCTCATCCACAAAATAACGGGTCCACCGGCGTGCAGAGCACACATGACAATCGTAGTGCAGGTTCCTCTGGAAACAACGAACCTTCAGCACACGTGCAAACGTTACCTGAAAGAAAACATCTCATCGATGGAGCGACGCACGTAGTGTCAACTTGTCCGGAAGAGTTCGCATTTCCAATACATGCGCAGGGTCTTGTAAGGTCAACGTGGATGCACATGCTCAAAGGGAGTGTTTGGAAACTTGTAGAAGACAGCGTGAACGTCGATCAACTGAGGGACGAAACACAAAGCTTCGAGCATGTACCGTGGATACTACACGAACCGTTCAAGATGATAACTGCGCTCCGAAAGCCATCTTCTCAGTCGCCCCCTGTTCCTTTGCAGGAGCAGCCAGGGGAAGGACGCAGACCGCTGGCTCCCAGAATTCCCACTGGACCAACAAAGAGCGATTGGAACACAATCTTACGCACATACCTTTTAGGGCTTGGCGCGAGTTCTGCGTGCACGGGCGTGCGAAGCAGTCCCCGCACAAACGCCCAGAAGAGTCCATTATCCCCATTGTACAAATATATTATTTCTTCTTGAAAAACGGCGCACGACGCAGCAGTAGTCACATGTGTATCAGTAATTGATGTCGTAATCGGATATTGTGCGTGCACACAAGTCAAGGCCAAAGGGTCCTCTGACACGCATGCCGTGGGATATAATGTCAAACATTTGGAGCGCGCAGGTCTGCACGGAGAAAATAGTTTGCAGACTGATTCCGGAACGTCTGTGAAGGACTTGGCCCGCGCGGTCGCTATCAAAAGGCAGGTCAATGGAAGTTCTCCGAAAACTCATTTGAGACATGCGCCAGTTGCAGCCAAACAGTCGAACGGTACAGTTGAGCGCCTTCACCAATCGATCGAGGGTCTCATCCGGACCCAAAAGTTGGCTCTTGAGGGCCACTACAACATGGTGCTCAAAAACACGAGCCTGCTCACGCCGTGGTTGATCAGACACTGCGGATGGCTGTACACCCGGTACCAAAAACACAGTGCCGGAAAAAAACATCGTTCGAGATAACGAAAGGCCATTCAAATCAAGTTTTTATTGTTGAGTTTGGTGAGTGTGTCAGCGCACGGTACAATGGCCCCATCGTCACTAAGATGGAGCCGCACTGGGTGACTGGGGTCTGGAGTGGAAAAGCTGTAGGTAATGACGAACATATCATAGCTACCCCCACAGGCTTGATACAATCCCGCAACATACGCAGACTGGAAGAAGACTCCCGGCTCAACAACACAATTGTGAATCAAATGTACGGCATCCCTTGGGATCTCAACTACAGACCGGGCTCTGAAGGCAACCCGGCACAGCAGCGTGCATCTCCCCAGCCAGACGCGCCTGAACAGCAGCAGCGTGAAGCCAATCGGAAACTTAGATTATTTTGGCAAGGGTGCGGCAAGACGCCCAAATGCAAAGCGTGCCACGAGGGAACACATGGCAGTACCCATTCTGATGAATGCAAGCGTAGACGGCAGGAGTGGGAGTTGAAATGCGCAGAGAAACGAAAACGAGAACAGGATGAACCAGCAAAGCAGGCAGCAACTGACAGGAGACAAGAGCCGCAAGAAAACTGACGAAGCTAAGCATCGTGACGATGTCTCTGGCGATCGAATGCAAGAAGACGGGTCGTCTCCAGATGACTGGTAACCAGCTGGGAAACGAAAGGCAGAAGAGAAACACCCAGAATCCCCAGGATCAAGAATCATAGCGATCATCCGGCCGATTCTGAACATCGGCGAAGACCAATATCTCTGCGAGGAGCCGGAACCGCACTCAACGGACCTCTGCCTGACCAACGAAGAGCTCTTGAAACAATGGTGCGAAGGCGTCGAGTTCATCGACGGGCTCCCGAAAGATTTGGTCGAACAAGGCATGTCCAAAGAAATGCGCAATCTGAACCACTTCAACGTGTACTCCTGAGTGCGGAAAGATAAACCCTTAAGTAAACCGATCGAAACAGGTTGGGTACACAAGGCTAAAGGAGATGAGGTGCGATCGAGGCCTGTTGCAAAAGATCTGAACATCGCAAGTAACAGAGACGACGTTTTCGCCGCAACGCCGACACCAATTGGACTTCGCATTTTGTTAGCAATTGCAATGGCAGAAAAAATTGACGCATGCATCGGGGACTTCACTGTTGCACTTATGCACGCAGACATATCAAATGTGAACGTTTTCTGTCGCCCGCCAAACCCTGGCGTTCTCGGTACCCCGGATGGGTCTGGAAGATGAGCAAGGCCATGAACGGCTTGAGAAAAGCACCGCAAAACTTCCAAGACTTTATATCTATTGTGTTGACAGACCATCTTGGTTGTACTCGCTGTTTGACAAACCCACAAATGCCTTGGAATAGAAGAACAGGTGTGCGAGTGTCAATACACGTAGATGATCCCATTGCAGTAGGAGACAAACTTAAGACAGACGAGCTTTTCGGACAACTCGAAAAACATGTGTTGTTCAAGCGTGGTGATCGTTTCAACGATGAGGTTCCCGCGAAGTACCTCGGAAGGATGTACGTGAAAGACACCCCTCACGTCAAGGGCTCTGTCGGAGAGGAACTTGTGATTTTGGACGAGGTTGAACATCATAAATACAGGTGTGCAGTAGGCAAGCTACACTTCATTTGTCAGGAACGAGGAGGCATCCAATTTTCAGTGAAATAATTCGCGAGGCAACTTGCATCGCCTACGAAGAGAGACGTCCGCAAGCTGAAGCACTTGTTGCGGTGTTTGAAAGGCACCAGAAACGGACATTTGCATCTTAGGTGCGATTCGCTCTCCGATTGTGTGACAGTTTGTGTAAACTCGGATTGGGCTGGGTGCCAGCGAACGAGGAAAAACACATCTGCTGGAGTTGTCATGTGGGGCTCGTGCGTTCTATGTAATTACAGCCGCACGCAGAGCGTGATAGCCCAGTCCAGCGGCGAAGCCGAGCTATATGCTATAGCCTCCGGCGCCGCAGAGGCATTGCATGCACAATCGTTGACCAAAGAGCTCGGGTATGAAACTTCGGCCAATGTGAAATCAGACAGAAGCGCAGGCAGGGCCATAGCATCGAGACCCGGCGTAGGAAGGTTGAAGCATGTCGATATTAAGTTTTTACATGCGCAGCAGCTCGTGCAAGCCATGCGCACAAATATTTCAAAGGTAACAACAGCAGATAAGATTTCAGACATTGAAACAAAGTGCCTTGCAAGAGCGAGGTTTTCCAAGCTAAAGCGACGGTTGGACATCTATGCGTAATGATCCTCCGTAGACGTGCTGGCTCAAGCATTCACCTTTTGTGTGTTTCTGAGACAGTATGTTGTCACCAAGTGTGAAATGGTGCTTTAAGAAATGCCCTGATTGCACGGAGTACTATGCGAATGTACCGGCTGACAGTGCAACCAGCAAGGGAAAAGTCGAAGGTACACTTTCCTACCGCATGGTGCACCACCTGAGCACCGCGCACGATCCACACGGTTACGGTGCAGAGACATCAGCAAAGATTGATAATTCCTGCCCGGTGCGTTACTGTGGTAGTGGACCAGAGTGTCTTGAGTACAATCAGACAGAGGCTTGGCCAGAGCGTTCACCAACGCCCGAAAGGCCTCCGACGCCACCTCCGGCGAACAGCCGCGTGGCAGACAGCAAAAGCAGGCCAGACTCAGCAACCGGCGATGTCCGTGACCGTACCCGGTCGCGCTCCAGGCGCCGATCTCCAAGCAAGAACACTGAGTCGAGGCAGAGGTCTCCCAGCGATCTCCGGAGCGAGGACACAGTGGTGAACGACATCTTGATCGACGTCGGTTAACTTCAGATCATTTCCTCAACCGCGCGTGTGTTGAAAGCTGTAGCATCGAGGATCAAACAATTATCCCGATCGTAATGTATGGCATCATATAACGACACGGTGAGGTACATAATTCAACGTACTGTTTTTGAGACCAGCTCTGCCTCCACAGGTATCTGATGAGAGTCAGATCTGAGGGGGGCTGTAAGAATCCCTTGTGAGAATCCCTTGTCGCCGCAGCCGGCTTGAGCCTCGAGCCCAGGAAAACATACTCCATATCGAAATCACCCGCTTATCTTTTCAGGAGGAGGAAGAGGAGGACCAAGAGTCCCGCTCAACCTCCCAGAACCTCCACCAGACCTCCCATTCATTTTCCGATCGACAGGAGGGGGAATGAAGACGACGACGACAACCGCGACGACCAACACGACCAAGACAGCAACCACGAACCACGACCACGAAGACGACGACGACGGCGACGACCACCACGACCACCACAACCAAGCCGACGACGACGACGATCGACGACGCCGGCGGCGGCGACGGCGATTGCGACTCGCGACGAAGACGACGACAACGACGACGCCGGCGACGACGGCGACGACGCCGAACGACCACGACGACGGCGACGACGATGACGACGAGGACCGCGGCGACGACGACGACGACGACGACGACGGCGATGGCGACGGCGACGGCGACGACGACGACGCCGTCCTCGATGCCCGCCTCGCGCGCCTCGTCGCAGCCCGAGAAGCCGGGCTCAGCGACCTCCTGGCCGGCGACCTCCCGACCTCCTGGCCCGGCGGCGCGCCCAGGGGGGGGCAGGCAGGCTCAGATCTCCAACGCTTGGGCGTTGCGCGATGGGGGAGCGACGGGCCTCGGGAGGAATTAGCGAACACTCCTGCCACATTCATCTGTCAATACCCCCCAGTGATCAACGTTGGCGGAGGGCTGAATGAGTTGCACTTCAGCCTCAATATGCCCCGCGCGTGCCCACTTTGAGTTTGGGGGGCGGGGGAGTGTCCACTAATTGTTTCCTCCTACCAGATGAATTCCAAGACATCCAGCGTCTCGGCAAAATCGAGACTGAGGTTTTCGTAAGTCTCAGCCTCTCCGGGGCTCTGAAATACCCGGCACCGGGGCCGTCGACGAGCGGCTCGAGACGGAAAGCTGGTCCCAGAGAAGTGAGGCATCGGGGGCACGTGTCTCGAAGAAATTGGGACGCTGGACGTCTGGGAACAAGGATGGCGAAGAAACGTGTAATTACCTTTCGTGCCCCTTTTGGACCCCAGAGAGCCGATTCCAGGCCCCTGCAGTGCACGAGAGGTGCAGCTTTCTTCCTTCCCATGTATCGCTCCCCCCCCCACTACGCAACGCCCGAGACGATGTGATTTGGTCTGGCCTGGACGTCTTTCTTGATTTCCGTCTCTGGGGTTCATCATTGAAGGGCCCCGGGACTCTTTGCATCGAGAACCGATGGGGGGACGAAGACCCACTCCTGGCGAAGCGGTCGTGGCCTCTGCACATGGGCCCGCGGGTTGAAAACAACAGATATCGGCGGACGTCTGGGGAGGGGGCCGGCCGTCTTAGAAGGCGGCGGGGCTTCTTAGAAGCCGTCCCGCCTTCCGAGAAGCCGCCTGCGGCTTCGGAGAAGACTTACGTTTTGGAGTCGGCCGAGGCGTCTGAACTGGATGGACTTCGAACAAATATGTCAAGAAGGGGGAGTAAGGGCATCCATTCAGAATCAGTCCTCAGACCCCTCCCACAAATTTTCATCCCGGACCTGTTTCTGACGGTCCTGGGGCCCGAAAACAGCCCATGGAGACCGAAAAACTGTGAAGCACCCTCCCGAACCCAGAGAGCCTCGGACCCCGCCGCCGCTTCCTGCTGGCCATCACCAGTGCCAGGCCACCTCACGCTACCAGCGGGCTCCAATCTACGCAGAAGGCCTCTCGGAAGGCAGCATTGCTTCCGAGATGCCCCGCTGCCCTCGGAGGAGGCTGGCACTCTCTGCCGTCCTTGGGGGACCTCGTCTGTCCCGTGTCGAATCCTCGTTGAATCTGCGCCTGGTCGTTGCCGAAGCCGTATCGACTCCTGCCGCCCTCTGAGGAGGCTGGCATTCTCGGCCTCCCGCCCCCCCTGGCGCGCCGCCGATCCTGCGCCATCGCCGCCCCGAGCGCGGCGAAGTCCTCGTCGCACGGGAGCACGGTGAGGGCATTGGATGAGGAAACATAAAGATACAGAACGCGGGTTCTTGAGGCAGGCGGAGCTCCAATCGAGGATCGGCCATGGGTATCACCGCCGCCCTCTTCAGATAAGGCGTCCTCCAGGGTCTGAAGCTTCCTGGGCACATTCCTGAACCAACGACCCCTCCTGTGTTACATAACGATGCTACGGTCGGGAACTTTCTCGGCTCTACGCAGGAGTGACCCTAGGCTAGAGTGACCTTTGGTGCGCGGCTTCAGGGGGCCGCGGGGGAGGCCAACTCAGCGCACTCCCAGCGCGCCAGCCAGTGCTGGCGGGACCCCGTGGGCCCGCACCAGAGGCTGCCCTGGCGAAGGGCCCCTTTTACGCGCAGCCGACTTTTGCTCAGCGTGTCACGGCGGAGGCCCCGGCGACGCGCTAGGCCTTGCAATCGGATGGCGTGTCGCTCCGCTGCCCGGGGCGGCGCAGGCCTGGAAAAGCTCGGGACGTCGAGGCCTGGGGGTTGAGAAGTGGGTAGCGTGTCGCGCCGAAGTGCGGTGGGCCAGAGCCAGCGGTGCGACACGCTGAGCAGACATTCCCGACTGTATGGTATCCAAGATGTTGTGCTGCATCTTCGGGGGGCCTCGTCTGTCCCGTCGCGCCGCTGTCCCCGTCGAGTCCGCGCCGCTGCCCCCGTCGGGTCCGCGCCGAGTCCGTGTCGAATCCGCGTCGAATCCTCGTCGAATCTGCGCCGAATCGTTCCCAAAACCGTATCGACCCCGCGCAGAGCACAAGAGAAGACCACAAATTCTGGGACAGACGAGGGCCCCCGAATATGCAACGGAAAGGATCGAGGATCGAGGATGACTGGGGATCTGGCGACCCAGTCCCCAACTTTGTGAGATTTTCGACTGGCAAATCAAACCAGTGCCAAACTTGAAGAGATACGACGGCGGAGGGGGCCCTACTCGATAGGGGTGCGTCCGAACAGCCCCCCTAGGGGTGTACCCCTGAGTTCCCCCTCCTTTCTGAGCGGCATGCATGATTTTCGTTGGTTGTAGAGGCCTCCCAAATGGGGTACGAACAGACGGGGTTGGAGCATCGTGCCGCATGGCCGATACATCGCCGACGCATCGGCGATGTCTCGGCGACGTCGAAGATGCATCTACGCCGTTGGCGTGACAACCGGGCTCCAGATCTAGCTGTATCGCCGACGCATCGGCGATGAGGCCCGATCCTCCGACGTCATGAGCTCGGGCCCCATCCATCAGGGAGGCCGGGAGCTGGGAGACTGGGGGCGAGTCTGGGGACCGCGCTTCAGGAGGCCACTCTCATCTTAGGCTGTTCCGTTCGGACGGCCCTGGAGTGGTCACAAGCGGCGAAAGTAACCCAATGCACCAATGCACCTGAGATTCATAGGGTGGGGATGATATAAAATGCGGGGTCCAGAGAGGATAACTATTAAACTGCTTCCCGGCAGGTCGCAGCATAAAGGACGTTGAACATGATGGAGATGATAATGCAGATGATGAGGGAGTGGGGAAGGGGTGGGAGGAGCAGATAGTCGTAGAAGTAGTAAGAGTAGTGATACTAGTCAGAGTAATAATAGCAGTGGTAGCAGTAGTAGTCATAATACAAGTAGTAGTAGTAGTAGTAGTAGTAGTAGTAGTAGTAGTCGTAGTAGTAGTAGTAGTAGTAGTAGTAGTAGTAGTCGTCGTAGTAGTATTAGTAGTATTAGTGATATTAGTAGTACTAGTATTAGTATTAGTAGTAGTAGTCGTAGTAGTAGTAGTAGTAGTAGTAGTAGTAGTAGCCGTAGTAGTAGTAGTAGTAGTAGTAGTAGAAGAAGTAGTAGTAGAAGTAGTAGTAGTAGTAGTAGTAGTAAGAGCCGTCGTAGAACAAGTAATAGTAGTTGTAATACGAGTGGCAGGTTAGTAGTAGTCGTCACCACAGTAACAATAATATAATATAGTATTAGTCGTCGCCGTAGTGGTGTTAGTAAGAGTTGTATTATATGGTCGTAGTAGTGATTGTTGTAATAGTTGTGAACATTGTAGTAGTAGTAGTACTAGTAGTAGTAGTAGTAGTAGTAGTAGTAGTAGTAGTAATAGTAGTCGTAGTAGTAGTAGTAGTAGTAGTAGTAGTAGTAGTAATAGTAGTAGTCGTAGTAGTAGTCATGGTAGTATTAATGTTAGTAACTCGTAGAAGAAGTGGTATCAGCATTAGCCGTAGTAGTAGTAGTAGTAGTAGTAGTAGTTGTTGTTGTTGTGGTTGTGGTTGTGGTAGAAGTATAAGTAGTAGAAGTAGAAGTAGGAATGGTAGCATTAAGAGTA